CAGCTCCTTGTCCCCTGTACTACTTGGAGCATCTATTGATAGTGCTCGGGTATACACCAAAACGATGATAATTGTCGCGTGCCAAAAACCCTCAACGTCGAAGTCCAATGATTTAGGGACGGTGTCAGTATCAGTCAACCGCTGCAGCTACCATAGATTTTGGTGGTTGAACAAGGTAAGCATAAACAATTCTACACCACAGTACCAAAACTAGGACAGAAGAAAACAGCATCTGTGAATATCAGTTCAAATTGTTTGCTCATGCGTTGTCTCCGTAATTTTGGCGCACCCTGTATAAAACATTACTCGAGGCCATGATTAATTACCTGTTCCCTGGTCCCAGTCTAGGTCACACTGTATGAGAAATGTCACAGGGCGTCCACAATCTGTGCCAGAACATTTTCCATGGTTAGGCATCTATGGGGCAACTTCGCAACTTCAGTGGCAGGGCCAACCGTCCATTATGCCTACTCCAACAAGGGCAGAACCTTCGGTCTAGGAGTCGCAAACGCCGATCCAGGGTCTGCTCGAACGTGGTTGTATTGGCTGGCCTTCCCAAGCTCAGGCGAAGGGAAGTAGATTTCCACAGACGATTGCGCGGCACATGGAGGAGCAGTATTATAAGCGCCAAATGCTCCTCGATCGGCCAGAGCAAAACATTGGTTAAAAATGGAGCTGGTTTTTTCGGATCAAATCAAGCTGCGAGGAAAGTTTTCAAGAGACCGTCAATGAATACAAAACTGAGGGGAAACTTGTGGAAAAAAAAGAATCTCGAGGTAGTATTTCCGCTTCTCCCAGTCTTTTCTGATGTTCTGCGGTTGTTCGGGAAAGGAGATCTTATCAGGAGTCTCCCCTTTTGGAACAATTTCAGAATATGTAGCACAATGCGACGTGCTAAGCTAACATGAAGCTCCTTATCGCTCATGAAGGTTTCGATATGACTGGCACTCCTATGGCATTTTTACGTTTCATTTTCTCTGGAATGTCCGGTCTTTTCTTATCATCCATAGTAACGAATTTAGACAAGTTCCTTCGATCATCACGTCACGGATTCTGCCGCTGGTGCTACAGGCTCTTTTCACGGGAAGGAAGGTAAGACACAAAATTGCCCAGATTATGAACTACGAGAGCATGAACTCACGAATCCAGCAAACTCGGGCATGTCTTTCCTTTTATACGCAAGTTCGTTAGGAGCGCAAATGAAACCATAGCGGAGTTCTCGTTCGCTGCATTCTTCTACGCTTACTAGTTAGCAGCAGTTTAGTAAGGAGCTGGCAACTGGTCATAGGAAATGGCTTAGTTGGCGAACTGCTGAAGCAGCTTGATCCCAACGGTCGTGCAATCTCAACGAAGTGGACTTCCCTTTGTCTATCATGCCCAAAAAGTTGTAGTAACATGCGCAATCAATTTAATTAACAGGAATGATATAGCAAACCTTTAATGGTATATCAATACAGGCCAACACAAAAACGTTGGGTACTTTGCCGACTGCAAGAGAGTACTGTACCAACTCGACCAGTACCCATATAGTGGATGGAATCGTGGAAGGAGTCCTTGAGAAAGGTAACGAACATTTGTGATCCACTTCAGATCAGCTGTAAGTGCTGCAGCTTTAAGATATGTCAATGGGCTTTGTGACGACCACCCGAATCACACATGCCACTCCTGCGGCACTCTATGCCAAGGCGAGCCGCTTAGTTTCCAACGCTGTGCGAGTTTTTCACTCAGAATGAGTTTTTAGGGAGTCGAACGAGACGCAGAGTACGACGAGGCCAGCGTACGTTGTGCGAGGGACATTGCGAAGCAGTTGCTTTCTTATCCGGCTTCCGAGTTCAAGGTGCCTTCGCAATGCGTATTCATCAAGTTTTTGAGCCTTTTACGACCATTGAAATTGGTTGGGACTGCGAATAGGTGCAAAAGGAGTGGGTATCAGTTCTCCTCACCAATCTAGGTAACATAAGACTAGGAGACTCTGATTTTTCGCAGCAAACCTAAGCCAAAGCCCAAGCCTAACCTCATTCAAGCATAAGCCCATTTGTACTTTGTGAGCTTGAACCTTACCTTGAACTTCAATCGTGCGCAAGTTCTGGTGACATTGAGCCTAGGAGGAAGAACCGACACCGTTTTGCGCAGCATTAGAACAAATCCTGCAAGTATGAATGTAAACACGCTTGCGAGTCGATTGTTATAAACCTTTCCAGTAACTCTAGACAGAATAGAGCAATACCAGTTCCATAGTCAGATAGCGATTTCGTTGCAGGTGTTGATGGGTGGAGGAAGTAGTTACCTGATGGAGAAGTCGCGAAATGGATCTCGTGGGGACGGAACGAACATTGACCTCGAGTGGCAGCGTCTTGGTGGCAGCCGAAAGATTCTGCGAACGCCATCCGATTTGGCTCAAGTGAATGCGGCAAATGATGAGAAGCTGCTTGGTAAGGCTCACATCATTGAAATGTAACTTGAATATAACGAATTGGAATACTAGAAAAGTATTTCCATATGCGCAGTTCCTTCAGAGCAGGAATGACCGCACTAATTCAATTCATGCACAATAATTCTGAATTGGAAACATTTCAGGCATCTTCTCAGAGTCACACTTTCCTTACTATCTAAGTGAGAGAATGGAGAATAAAAGGACCGTGCCAAGACTTCGCGAAATGACCGAGAAAGCTATTGAGGTGCTCCAACGAGACGATCAGGGATTCTTCTTAGTGGTTGAAGGTAGACTGGTGTTCCGCCGCTGTCAGCATGCCTTTCAAGTCGCCTTATATTTCCATTTTGTGTGATATTGCAGGTGGGTTGATTGACATGGCTGAGCACGAGAATTGGATGCACATGGCGTTCTCCGAAGTGTACGAGTTTGAGGAAGCTATTCGAGTGGTGAGTTTTAGGAGTAAAGGGATAGAGGATAGAGCATTCGGAATTGATAATTTCTTCGTTAATGCGCCGCGCATTATATTTCCATTCAAGTTGTACAGAATTTTCAATGCAATACAACTGCTACCTCCTTCGAACACTAGTCTGGTGCCGAAAAACTGTCGGGCTAGAAGTCTAAACTACAGAAGAAACCGTATTTCCTTTTTGAATGAATGGCTTTGAAAGAAAGGCGTAGCATTAATATATATCATTCATGGTGAGCCGTAGATCGACTTCCATCCAGGAGGCATTCGACTTCATTAGAGCATGGCCTGAAACCTGCACAATAATTTTAAGGGTGGGTGCCTCTAGCAATGCCCAATCCTACACAGCTTTGGTACAGATTGGTCAAGTGTGAAAGGATGACTGGGTTGTTGACTGGGATGAAGTTCACAGTCGGAATCCGACTTTTTTTTTATCATTGCGATCTCCTTCTTGATTCTCCTTTCATTCTCCTTATCATAAAACACCTTCTGTAAGATACACTGGTGTGCAAAACTTAAAAGACGAATTTACGATGGAAAAGCAACTC